TTTTAAATGACTTTCGGCCGAAACCGAAAAAAGGCCGTAATTTTAAAATGACTTTCGGCCGAAACCGAAGCCGAAACTGAAAATGAAACATTTAGATATTTTGAAAGTCGTTCACGCATACATTCTGCATACAGAAAAAAATGAGATAATCGTGAAAAATGAGATAATCGTGAATATTAACAAATAAACATCAAATATAAGTGTCACAAACTCGCGGCCTGCCAGCTATTTGTGACACGCAAGACAATATTTTGCGGCCCGCTACATGACAGAAAAGCTTAGTGTTAATGCGCCAGCGTTTCCCCCATTCTCATATCTATAACGTGAATCTCCATGACGGTTTCAGTCAAATCTCACCGACTAGTCTAATTTTGATTTTTTAAAAATGTTTCTAAATTTTTTTGTATGATGATTATAATGGTAATAACCATTTAAACTCACAATAAAAGTTTTTATTTTATGGTTTTTTATGAGACAAACATGGCAAAGAGTACGGATTTGAGAAAAGTTTTTTAGAAGTAAGTTGTCTGGTAATGCACAAACATAATGTTGTAAATCGTAGCAATCTGATACATTATCAAAGGATCCCTATTAAAATTTCCGCTAGTGTTTACGAGTGAGGTCAATTCCGAGCCTGTCAGCTTGGTCACTTTCTAAATCCTCTTCTTATGCCTTTTTACCCAGTCTGGGTCTCTACATTTTTTAGACTTAAAAACACAGAAAGTCACTTTTCAGCTTTTTGCTGACCCTTGCTCCTTTAATGTGCAAGATGCCCCGCGCGGGGAGCTGAATGGAAAAACAGAGAAGCATGGACATTTTATTACATTGCCGTCCACCTTCCCTTAAATTTTTAGGTTGTTCAAACGGAACATACGTCTTTTTGGGAGTACCTATCTGTGTGAATAGCTCTTTACCACTGCGCACTTTAACAAGTCAAAGTTCAGGGTCAAACTTACTGATGAGGATTTTCAAGCTGTACTGAGAGTCTTAGTTGCTTCCTCACTCAAGCCAAAGTTGCTCAGCTGTGTAAAAAGAAGCGCTGCCAGGTCTCCGGCAACAGTGAGTAGGTGGAAGGAAGTGAATGCTAGTTCTTGGGAACACTTAATGTTTTTATTGTTATTTATAAATGTTGAGCAAATTGTAACAGTTGTAATCGCTTTTTTGTGGATTACTTGATGCGGCCCACTCTCATTCAGACACTACCTCCTGTGCCCACCCCCAACCCCCCCCCTGATGATTTGAGTTTGAGACCCTTGATCTAATGAATACTTTGAGTTTTTACCATTTTAATATAAAATTAATTTGAATTGCTTAACCATTTTTTAAAAATTAGTATGGTAGGAGAAAGTTTGCAAAGATAGGGGGAGGGAGGGGGGCAAAATTAATTCAAAATAGTTCCCTTTGCTTTTATGATATAATTACAACCTAGAAAATACAATAATTATTGTTGCTCTAATAGAGACAATTGCCACCTAAATTTATATTATAAGGCAATGAAAATATCACCAGAATGTTTTAGCTGTTTTCGTAATACTAATGCTATGTATTTTCATTAATAGCTTGCAAGATATCACTGTATACATATTTAACCTAGTAAAAACACAATAGTCTATCCATGCTGGTGACGTAATTATTTCGTTCGAGGGCCAGCATCCCTCACCTCAATTGGTAGCGATTTTTTTCTTTAATCGGGTTTATTAAAATTGTTGTTCTGATCATGGCTCTCAAAGATCACTTAATTTGTTCCTAAAGGTCGCTTTATTTGTTTTTAGAGATTGTTTAGTTTGCTCTTAAAGACCACTTAGTTTGTTCTTAAAGATCGGTTAGTTTGTTCTAAAAGATCGTTTAGTTTAATCTTAAAGATCGCTTAATTTGTTCTTAAAGATCACCTTCTTCTTCTTCTATATCTTAAGGGCCCACGATCAATTTATTGATCATTTTGGCTCCTATGCATGTAGATGGGATTTGCAATGTTTCTGTTACTGGTGTTGATGAGGAAATCGTGCACAAGGGGTTTGAAGGCTGGAGGCAATAGACACAAATGTGTCTAGTGTTGTCGCCTCAACCGTTCCTTTTGAAAGATTTTTCCAGTCCCTGATTGTCTTGGGCAGGAATGAGCAGCTCCGACTGGCTTCTTGCTGGTAGGAGCCTGAATTGCCTGTCATGGCCTCGTCGCTGTCTATGGGGGAGAGGGACGAGTTTCTGTTTAATACTGGAACAGTGGACCAGCCCATTATTTATCTTGTACATCATGGAGAGCCTGGATTGTCGTCGTCGTTTCTCCAATGGTGACCTCGTCGCTGTCTATGGGGGAGAGGGACGAGTTTCTGTTTAATACTGGAACAGTGGACCAGCCCATTATTTATCTTGTACATCATGGAGAGCCTGGATTGTCGTCGTCGTTTCTCCAATGGTGACCAGCCTAGTGTTTCTAGCATGCTGCCAACACTAGAGGTATTCCTGTAGCGGTTTAGGACAAAGCGTGCTGCTCGTCCCTGGACAGCCTCCAACCTGTCAATGCACTTCTGGGTAAATGGGTCCCAGACTGAAGATGCATAATCTAAAATCGGACGGATAAAGGCTTTATATGCTCTTTCTTTCACACAGGAGTTGCCAATCTTTAGATTTCGCCTTAAGAACCTAGTTAGTTGTTAAAGCTCGTTTAGTTTGTTCTTAAAGTTCGCTTAGTTTATTGTTAAAGATCGTTTACTTTTTTGTTAATGATCGCTTCATTTTTTGTTAAAAATCGCTTAGTTTTTGTTTAAAAATCGTTTAGTTAATTCTTAAATACTAGAATAAATGACCCTAAAATATAATGATTTTTACGTTTCTGTCATCATTAAATTTTGAGAAGTGTTTATCTGTTATATATTATACGCCTCCCTTACACCCTTTCACGCTCCTAAACTACTTTTTCCTCTTCTAATCATGACCTTAAATTACCCAGTTTAAGTAATCACTAATTATATAACATTTGTTAACTGATTGGCTTAAACCGCATTTTCTTATTAGAATTATATTTAAAGGTCAGAATTTATTACGTTATAATTTTAATAAAAGTATATTTTTGGAATAAAAAAGACAAAACTTTTTAAATGGTAAAATATTCAAAGCTGAAATGTGTGTGTGTGTTTTATTAACAATTCAAAAAGCAATCAATTGTATTTATTAAGTTTACTTTTAAAAGGGAAAATATATTATCAGTTTTGTCAAGGTCGGTTATTAAATTTAAAGAAACCTAAGAGTTTATGCGAAATAGGCTATTCACGCTATGACGTCATTGGCGTGATTATTTAGAACAATTTAATTTTAATTCGCAATATTAACAACGCACTTAAAGACGCACTAAAAACGACTGATGTCTGGGTTTTCCCGATAAATGTGATTACGGTGTAATTCTTTAAGCATGATTATTTTAATTTTGTTTTTTCATAATTTTCAAACACATATAAAATGCTTAAAATAGTTCCTTATTTGTTACTTTAACTGTATTGGTAATTTATAATATTTATATTTAAACTTTTACTAAAATAAAAGCGGATTTAAAATATTTTTTTGCGCATTTAAATTTATTCGATTTCCCTAAATTAATAGAAAATAACTATGATTAATTTTAGGAATCCGAACGTACTTAAAAAATTCTCCCTTTTGGCGTTATGTGAACCTAGCTCATTCTTACATATATCATTTAGTTTGTTCAAAAAAGATCGCAAAGTTTTGTTCTGAAAGATCGCTTAGTTTTTATTATTTAAAGATCGTTTAGTTTGTTCATCAGGATCGCTATTATTGTTCTTAAAGATCGTTGATTTTGTTCTTAAATATCGCTTAGTTTTTGTTGAAGATCATTCAGTTTGTTTTTATAGATCTTTTAGTTGGTTATAAAAATCAGTTAGTTTGTTCTTAAAGATCGATTATTTTGTTGTTGAAGATCGCTTAGTTTCTTCATAAAGATAGCCCAGTTTGTTCTAAAGATTATTGATTTTATTCCTTAAGATCGAATAGTTTGTTCTTAAAGATCTTTTAGTTTGTTCCTAAAGAACATTTAGTTTTCGGTTAAAATCGCTTAGTTTATTCTTATAAATCATTTATTTTACTATTAAATATCATTTTGTTTTGTTCTTAAAGATTATTTAGTTCGTTCTTAAAAATTGTTTTCTTTGTTCTTTAAGATCGTTTAGTTTCTTTTTTTCTTTTTAAAGATAGCTCAGATTGTTCTTAAAGATCACTTAGTTCTTTTTTAAAGATCGTTTAGTTTGTTCTTAAATATCGCTTTCGCTGAGTATTAGATTCCGAAAACCTGAGTCACTTTCGGCCAGACGGCCGAAAATCTAAGTCAATTTTGGCCGAAACCGAAAAAAACCCGAAAGTTAACTTGGCCGAAACTGATAAAATAGCCACTTTAGGCGCCGAAACCGAAGCCGAAATTCGGTTGGTCTCTATTCTCCCCCAACATCCCCTAACCTCCCCAAACTTTCAAAACCTCCCCATAACCTCCACAACCTCTCTCATTCTCCCCCAACAACCCTTAACCTCCCCAACCTTCCAAAACCTCCCTTTAACCTCCACAACCCCCCAAACCTCTCCACATCTCCCCAAAACTTCCAATCCAGCCCAAAAAATGTTCACTGCCCTCAACCATCCTCCCCATCCTCCTCCAACGTTTCCTAAACTGCCCCTCAAAACCTCCTCTTCCTAACCTCCCCAACAACCCCCCCCCCCATCTTTGTTTGACACTCTCATAGTACTCATGGGCAGACACTATTTTAGCGCTAAGCGTGTTGTTGGTGTACAGAAGACGGAAGAACAAGCACATTAAAAGAGTTTTCTAACCAGCATCCTGTTTGTTTTCAATTGCCTTAAGTACCGGAAAGGCAATTTTTAAAAAAATGTTTCTTTTTTCATACTTCAAGCATAGTGGAGAGGATACATCGAGTAGCATGGGACTGCGTGGGTTTTTCCATTTACGTTGAAATGTTTGGGTTGTGTCCAATTCTCGGGACACTTAGTGCTTTTGTCATTGGTGAGAGAACAACGCAATCTCAAAGATTATGGTGTATTTAATTGTCATTATTGTGTATAAGAACGTGTACAGGATCACCTGGATGAGACTTTGGTGTTAATCAGACTGGTGTGATTGGAAAATGATTGCCGCTTCTTTTGTCAAACACCTGGATGGAGACTTAAATCTTACTGCAATGACACTACCTGTTGTGGTATTCCTTCAAGACTCATTATAGGTACCGTGGTTACTTCTTCTTTGTTTAAAGTTGAAAAGTTATGCATGTTGATGCATGTTGATAAAAGGTGTCCCTTTCTTCGTAACAAAGTTATCCATTTTTTGCAAATGTTTACTCTTCTTTTTTTGTGCAAAGTTATGTTATTGAAATGTTTCTGTTTTCTTTATTTAAAAAAGTTTTCCGTGTTTTTACAATGTTTCCTTTTCGTCGTTCAACAAATGTTAAAAATTCCAAAAAATATAACACCTTCTTGGAACACCTTCTTGGAACACCTTCTTGGAACACCTTCTTGGAACACCTTCTTGGAGTGACATTAGACTTTTACAAATATCTGTTGTCGGAAACAATGGACGATGTAACACATACTCAGTTGTAATAAATTAAAATGGGAATATGTTGTTGTAACGAAAACAAAACATTGTTGATTTTTGGTTGATTTCATCTTAAAAATTAGAAGCTAAACAGTACCATTATGTCTGTCTTTATCACTGGGTTAACTTCGCTGAAAAAAATGGAAGTCATGTTAACGTTACTGGGTTAACTATGGGTGCGAATTGAATTCATATTAACAAGGGATGGATAAACATTTTCGGAGGCCTCAACCAAACAAGTCTATGTTTTTTAAAAGAGATCTTCTAATTATTACAAATAGTGAAACTGGTTTGGCAATCAGGGAAAAGGGGTTTGAAGTTGTATTTGGATTGATCTTCATTTTTATTGTTATCAGCAAATGCGTTTAGATATCATCTTATAGTGTTTTAAAGTGCCAAGGAATTTAATTATAACTTTAAAGTAGATACGTGGCCAATGATGTATTTAAAGTAAAAAGATTAATTAAAGATGTCTCAAAAGTAGAGAAATATCGAATGATGTCTTTTAAAGTAGAGAAGTAAGTGTGAGTCTTGTTAGTAGACCAATGATGTCTCAAAAATCGAAAAATTGTAAATGATTTCCTGAAAGTAGAGAAGTAACCAATGATGTCCTGAAAGTAGAGAAGTAAACAATGATGTCTGGAAGGTAGATAAGTAACCAATGATGTCTTGAAAGTAGAGAAGTAACCAATGATGTCTTGAAAGTCAATTACTTTTATAAGATTCCTTCCTCGATTGTCAAATGTGCAAATCTGTCCGCCATGCCATAGGTGTGTGTATCAACATAAAATCTCCTCATGTGTTTGTTTTTTCTTACACGCTGCTATTTAGACAACTTATTTCCACAATTGATTCTGTAGAACACATTTAACCCATGTCGTACAACGTTACATAACGCATTTAACCCATATGGTATCATTTAATGTAACTACAGTATTAAAATCACAGTGTGAGTTGAGTATAAAAACAGTGTGTAAGTAGATTATAAAAAAAACGGGTATTATATAAGTAGTGTATCTAAACCAGTGTATAAGTATAGCATTAAAACAGAGTTTTATGTAAGTAGATTATAAAACAAAGTGTAAATATAGCATTAAGACAGAGTTTAATTTAAGTAGATTATAAAACAAGGTGTAAATATAGCATTAAAACAGAGTTTAATTTAAGTAGATTATAAAACAAGGTGTAATTATAGCATAAAAACAGATTTTAATGTAAGTAGATTTCAAAACAAGTTGTAAATATAGTATAAAAACAGATTTTAATGTAAGTAGATTATAAAACAATTTGTAAATATAGTAAAAAAACAGAGTTTAATGTAAGTAGATTATAAAACAAGGTGTAAATATAGTAAAAAAACACCCATAAAATGGACTTGCTTCATTGGCTTCCGCATCAGACAAAATGAAGTAAAGAGTGGAGCACTCCCGCCTGCCAAAAATGTATGATCATATAATCAGTGAGAGCGTTGTCAGCGTTTTGCCATTCAATGGGGGTTTAAAGTGTTCATTGGGGGTTTAAAGTGTTCAATGGGGGTTTAGAGTGTTCAATGGGGGTTTTGAGTGTTCAATGGGGGTTTAGAGTGTTCAATGGGGATTTAGAGTGTTCAATGATGATTTAGAATGTTCAATGGGGATTTAAAGTGTTCAATGTGGGTTTAAAATGTTCAATGGGGGTTTAGAGTGTTCAATGGGGGTTTAATGGGGATTTAGGGTGTTCAATGGGGCTTTAGAGTGTTCAATTGGGATTTAGAGTTTTCGGAAACATGTTTGGTGGTGCTGTTTGCGTTTGATACAAAGTTTCTTAATACAATATATTGATTTATTACTTTTAAATTTTACAATTGCAATGTTAGATGTCATTTAGACAGCAGTTAAACATTAGTAGACAGAATTACTCAACAGTTTGACAGCAGTAGACATCAGTTAGACAGAAGTATAAAGCAGACAGTTGTAGACAGCAGTAGACAACTGTGGGCTGTCGCGAACCTTCTTAAATTGTATTTAAAAAAAAAAAATAGATTGTGTGTCTGATTTCAGGCAGAAACTGCTTGTTAATCTGCCTGCTACTCTGCCTGCTACTCTGCCTGCTACTCTGCCTGTTACTCTGAGAGATGGGTACAATGTGCACACGGCCAGTCAGATGTGAATCGAAGGCGTCAGACCATGTAGGTAGAGTCTCTGGCAACTACGACTACATAAACACCCGATCTGACGTGTCTTTAAAGGAGTTGCAAATAGACAGTAAAAATATCAAAGACACGTCATCAAATGATCTGCCAGTGTACTCCAACAAGATCACTTACAGCTGTGAAAACTGTTTAAAGAACGAGTTACAGACTGAATATCCGGATGTAAGCGACGTTGTGGTTAAACACTCACCGAGGTTCGTGATCACAGACGAGGAAATCCATTTCATGAACTCTAAACTACTCAACATCCTAAGCGATGTCACTTACTGCAACTTTTCCGGATGGACAGCTCTCATTACAGCGTGTCACTCGGGAGACCACGGACTTGTGGAGCTCCTACTGCAAAGTGAAGAAGATGTCAACGCCGCCGACGCCGAGGGCTGGAGTCCCCTGCTAGTGGCACTGCACAATCAACATAACACGTGCGTGGAAATTTTACTGAAGTATCGTGCCGATGTTTGTCACGCGAGCAACAACGGGTGGTCGGCGTTGATGGTGGCTGCGCAGTCGCTGAGATTCAACGGTAAACACTATCCACTTCCGAATGAGAAAGACGGATCGCACGATACCCAAATTTTTGAAACGCTTTTAAAACACGGTGCAGACCCGAATCACTGTGGCAGCAACGGCTTGACCGCTCTGATGATAGCGGCTAGGAAAGGCAGACACGACGTTGTGGACCTGCTCGTGCGAAACAAGGCCAGCGTCTGTCACGTCGCAGAAGGGGGCTACAACGCCCTGATGATAGCCACGCAGTTCGCCGGCTACAGCACCATCAAACTGCTGCTAGACAACGGGGCCGACGTGAACATGGTCGCCAGAGACGGCGTCAGTTGCGTATCACTGGCAGTTCAGTTTAGAGATTATAAAATCTTGAAGCTGCTCGAGAGCAGAGGGGCCAACGTTTACTTTAACGTCGAGCAGGACTGGAATCCGGTAAAGATTGCGGCCATGTACGGCCGGGCAAACATACTTGAGATGTTTCTTTCGCGGCACTTCAATGAACAAAAAGGAGAGGTCATGTCCAGTGCACTGATCATGGCATCGAAGTACGGCCATTTCGACACAGTGGACGTGCTCATTAAGTACGGGGCCAACATCAATTACGTCCACATTAATAGTTACACAGCATTGATGATAGCATCAGAGGGCGGTCACCTGAGAACCGTTGACCTCCTTCTGAGATACGGGGCCCATGTTCATCCTCAAACTAAAGACGGGCTTTCGGCGGCTGACTTAGCCTTGCACAAAGGTTACCAAGACGTGTTTCAGCTCCTGAAGGAGTATGGAGCGGCCCAGTACACGGCCAAGAGTGACGGCCGTCCCACACACACGACATATCACGGACCAACCAAAGAACCTCAGCTCTACGACCCTGGTCGTTGTCTAACAGTGATCAACCCTAGTGACACCAGATCAGGTGAGCATATTTTATTATATGTATATTTTAATTGTAGCAGTATTGTTTGGTTAATGTATTCCCCTCGCCCCCCCCCCAACCCCCCACTTTTTTTTTCTTTTTAGATCTTTGATGTACATAAAGCAAACAAGTTTCAAAATCTTTTCGTTTTTGTTTGTTTTTTTTACTAAATCGTTTACATTAAATGCGCTTTTGTTCATGTGTGTTCTGGGTAGCAAAATCATCAGACGGCTAATTGACCCACTTCCCGTCAATGTATCGAGCTGCAACTTAGCACATGGATCCGTTGCCAATGGCAACACATTCTATCAATGTTTCAGCCCAAAGCCCCAACCCTAAACCCCAAATTCAGGTTTTCTTGTTTTTCAATGAGAGGTGAACGAAATACACTGATGACACTGATTTCACCAAATAAAAAAAAAACAACAACAAATGTTGCATCTGTGCCATCTGCGTTTGGTGGATAGTTTTCTTTTTTGGGTTTCTCTGAAATAGTTGTTGAAATAAATCTGCGGTGTAGAAGTGGATGGGTCATTATGATGTTTAAAATTTAGTTCAGGTGCGTGGAAAAGATGTGTGTTGGGCAGCCGGGGGGGGGGGGGGGGTGAAGGGAAGCAGGGGAAAGCACTAATTGCGATTCTTACACCGTGCATTACTTGTATGCTAATTCTCAAATGTTTGAGCTTTCCCACCAACCCCCTCCCAACCCATCCCAAAAAATGGTACTCGAATTTACATTTTATTAGAGATTTATACGAAAAACTAAGTTTTTAGAGGATGTTTAATTAATATAATATTGTAATAATGTAATAATGATTTTGATTAATACAAGATGAATTTTTTTTTTTACAGGTGAAATACTCAACTATTATTCTACAGTCTCCTCCATATACAGTTAAACCACACTGACGCCCCTGATCGCGGCACACAGCTCACTTGGGAAGAGCAATGAAGATATTTTGCAGTTATTTTATAGAAATGTTTAAATATTGTCAAAAATTGTTCGGCATGAGAAGTTATGAAACTACTTTTTTGTTGTAAAGTCCTTTTTTTTTTTTTTTTTTTTTTTTTTTTTTTTTTTTTTTTTTTTTTTTTTTTTTTTTTTTTTTATTTTTTTTTGGTTTTTTTTTTTTTTTTAATTTTTTTTTTATTTTTTTTTTTTTTTTTTTTTTTTTTTTTTTTTTTTTTTTTTTTTTTTTTTTTTTTTTTTTTTTTTTTTTTTGTAAAGTGTTTGATCTTTTTTTTTTCTATTATGTTAAATACCTTTGGAATGTATTTTAAATAGCTATTGTTAGATGGTTAAAGATATATTTAGGTTTTGCTATCTACCATACATGTCCTTGTTGTTGATAAATATATTAAAAATGTTATGTTATAATGTATTTTTGATATTAAAAGAAATATGTTGATCCCATTGGGGATGCTGGTGAACTCTTCTCGGAGAAAAAGCTAGACACAAAGAAAACATATCAGAAAGAGAGACATTCATGTAGGAATGTAATAGAGAGGAATAAAAAGACAGACAGATTATGGAAACTCAGCAGAACCAAAATTATGTTCAAAGCCATGAAGTGGACAAGCCTTGTATAATCATCCCGGTGGGGTGGGGGAAACTAAAATGACCTGAGCAATTTAGTTCCTCTAGAACCAAGCGATTTATGTTCAACGTCTCCCATTTTTAAACTCTTTATATTAACTTCACTTCCCCCCCCCCCCGTGGCTGGCAAAATCTATGGTCGGCTGATGGACCTACTGCTCGTCAACCCATCGAGCTGAAACTCGGCACATCGACTCGTTGCGTGTGACAAAATATTTTGTTCCCACATTTTTTAGCCCAACATCTATTCCAAACCCCTAAAATCACTTATTCCTTTTTTGAAGGAGAATTTAACGGAAAATGTGATGACACTGAATTCCTGAAAGAAAATTCATGATAACTGCTCTGAACAAGATTCTTTGAAAAAAAATATCACAAGAGCGTTGGTGCGTTATATTTTTATTTTTTTTTCTGAAATATTTTTTTTTTATAATTAATCTGCCGTTTAAAAGTGGGTTATAAATAAAATATTAACTAAATATAAAATAATTTTAAAAAGTCACAAAAGATTTATACGAAAAACTGTGTTTCTAAGGGATGTTAAATTATGCTCTACATTTTACTATTTTTGAATTACATTGTTTGAGATCAAGGGATTTTGACCAAATTTGCTATTAACCACGCGCGAGTCAGGAGGTGTGACCGCTTTTATAGTGTTTCGCCATCCGTTGCTTGAATCTCATGTCCTAAAGTAGCAGATTAAAATATACTAGTTATAGCCCGCCAAACATTGGCGACGGCAGTGCGTGAACTTCCATCTACTAAAGTTACTTCACAAAACATGAACCCAAGAATCGCACATTTATGAATTCAAATTTTTGCTATACTCCCCCCCCCCCCCCCCCCCCAAATGATACGTCACTGCACACTTTTTTTTTCACGCCCATGATCTATATTAAATATTCTGATGTCTCAAACATTTTTTGTGCGTGAACTTCCATCTACTAAAGTTACTTCACAAAACATGAACCCAAGAACCGCACATTTATGAATTCAAATTTTTGCTATACCCCCCCCCTCCCCCCCCCCCCAAATGATACGTCACTGCACACTTTTTTTTTCACGCCCATGATCTATATTAAATATTCTGATGTCTCAAACATTTTTAAACTGAAAATTTTTTATTCCTTACTTAAATTGAGACGATTTCATTTATCGAAAAATAATACGCACAAAACGAAGTTGCGTTATTAAAAAAATATATAAATGATTTAGTGTAGTTATCGGGAATTCTATTTTGCGCGCTAGGAACTCATTATCTATATATAGCCTGCATGGTGGTGGTGTTGTTGGACCTATTCTGGCGAACTATATATATAAATACAAACAAACAAACCTAGTAACACTGCGCTGTGCATGGCAGATTATGTTCAATGAGTTTGAAATAGTCTTACTCTTTGTTACATTGTGCACACTGGTTAAATGAATGTTACATTGTGCACACTGGTTAAATGAATGTTACATTGTGCACACTGGTTAAATGAATGTTACATTGTGCACACTGGTTAAATGAATGTTACATTGTGCACACTGGTTAAATGAATGTTTTATAGTGCATATATGTTCAATGTATTTTATATTGTGCACACTGGTTTTAAGTATAAAAATCTATCAGAAACACAGACATATTTTTATGGACAGTATTTTAAGGACATAACGACACGTGACGTCATTCAGGATCTTAGCAGTGAGTCCCGAGACCATATCTTCATTGAGCTGCATTTTTGTAGGTAGAAAATCTTCAGGTATTTTTTTTAATGTTACTAAATGGAATTAGTTGAAAAAATTTTGACTTGTGTCATATATTTGTATGGGTTATTCTAACGCCATCTTAATCTTAAACACATTCAAATTATTATATTGTTCGTATGTGTTTTATTTACCTCCAAATCATACCTAATGTGATTTTTGCCACCCCAACCCCAATGTTCATGAACTTAGTACATACACAACATGATTTCTTTAAATATGTCATTGCAAGATATAACACAAAACATCCTTTACTTTCACCAAAAGCTTTAATACGGTGTTTTATAACAGACACTAAAAAGAATTTGTAAAATGTCAAACTGTAAAGAGATAATATAAAAGAGAATTTGACATGAAATACCAGTCAACCTGGTCAAAAAATAGATGGATACGGTGAGATTCACTTAAAACAATTGCAAGGCTTACGACATTTTCATTCAAGAAAACTCTAAAACATATTTGTTTTCTTGGGTTCATCGTGTTTTGAATCCAAAATCTTTCCGTCAACCAATGAAATGTGGAGCCCCGTATTGCGCTTTAACTGCGCGAAGGGCGCTTTTGTCTCGTAATTGGCGCCTGTTTGTTGGGAACATTTAAAATAATAAAAATAGACACGACATTTTGAGAAATGTGTTATGGGAAATGAATATTTCCAAATATATTGTGTTTTTTCTATGAATTTAATTTAGGGCTATGCATATTTTTGCGGTGAACATTAGCGAAGGGTAGGCGCCAAGGACGAAAGGTCAGGTAAATGTGAGGGAGATGTTTAAACTTCATCCATGGAACTGACGGTCAAATAAATATAACGGTGTTGAGTCTCATCCGTGTAACTGACGGTCAGATAAAGATGATGGTATTGTTGAACCTCATCCGTGTAACTGAGGGTCAAATACATTTGATGGTGTTGTTAAACCTCAGCCGTGCAACTTACGGTAGTATTAAGCAGTTAGGGACTATTTAAAAACTAGACCTTTTGACTTAGTTTCCCTCATGATTTTTCTAATATAATCAAAACAATTTTTTTTTCTTCCTCTTATACCATGAAATACTTCCTGATCTGATAAAGTCTTATATTAATTATTTTCTATAACCCAGCATCTCATTTAAACTCTCATTTAAAATTATTATACTTATTCAGATTTTGTGGGTAAATCTTGTGCAAGATAGTTTTGTATTCTTATTGCAACAAAGTAATATAATTGTATGACAGTACATAAGATTGCTTATTTAATTTTGAGAAACGACATGTAATAATAAGGATAATGGATAAAATGTACAAGCAAGAGATAAACTTGAAATAGCTTAGCAATAAAAATCTGGAGAGAAAGATAACGTTATTAGATTAAAACGGAAAAAAAAAATTTATACAATGTCCGAATTTTGCAAGAGCTTTTTTGAGCATGTACTTAACGATCAAGCTTGGTAACAACAAGTCCTTTCTACGCGACACCCACTTACCTTTCAGGTGTCAACACAATCAAACTCTAAAACTATTTCCAAACCACGTCTAACCACCATCAAGGCATAGAATAGTTTTAGTTGAAATAACCAGATATCGTTCAGTGGTAAACAATGCTTTTTGCGGATAATTTTATCTTCATATTTGATTCTTCAATTCTGATTTGTTTTTAAGTCTACTTTAATTTTGATCTTATTGGAGAATATTTCTTACTCAAATATGAACATTCCTATAGTATCATTGGCGAGTCACTCTTGGTGAGCAAAAGAATCATAATTTCCTAGCAGGTAATATCACATTCACAAGTCAATAATAAATGTATAATCTTTATATTATATAAAAAGTTTTTAACATAAATATTTATAGAAGTTTGTAAACACATCAAAAGATCAATGCTTAAAATCTCATTTTTGGGAATGATCATGACATGAGGAGAAGTACAAGTTTAAAAAAGCAAGCATCTTATAGCGACGGAACAAATAGATAGAAAAATAATTCAATTAAATAAATATATAATTATCAAATTTCTCGCGGGTTTTGGTCCAGAGAAAGTTAGAATGACGTCACGAAGATAATATGGCGTCACGAAGTTAGAATGGCGTCACGAAGTTAGAATGGCGTCACGAAGTTAGAATGGCGTCACGAAGTTAGAATGGCGTGTCAGATGAACTATAAACCATATGCACGGGATCCACATCAAGAGGGCCTTAGATTAAAATGATTATGTTGTAGCAGGAAATAGAATGATTATGTTGTAGCAGGAAATAGAATGATTATGTTGTAGCAGGAAATAGAATGATTATGTTGTAGCAGGAAATAGAATGATTATGTTGTAGCAGGAAATAGAATGATTATGTTGTAGCAGGAAATAGAATGATTATGTTGTAGCAGGAAATAGAATGATTATGTTGTAGCAGGAAATAGAATGATTATGTTGTAGCAGGAAATAGAATGATTATGTTGTAGCAGGAAATAGAATGATTATGTTGTAGCAGGAAATAGAATGGTTATGTTGTAGCAGGAAATAGAATGGTTATGTTGTAGCAGGAAATAGAATGATTATGTTGTAGCAGGAAATAGAATGATTATGTTGTAGCAGGAAATAGAATAATTATGTTGTAGCAGGAAATAGAATGGTTATGTTGTAGCAGGAAATAGAATGATTATGTTGTAGCAGGAAATAGAATGATTATGTTGTAGCAGGAAATAGAATGGTTATGTTGTAGCAGGAAATATAA